GCCCGGCCTGGGGGTTCCTCTTTGGCCTCTGCCCCTTTAGCTGCTTCCAAGAAGGCTGGGGACCTGTCTCCTGCTGGAGGTGGTGCGTTAGGAAAGGGCGGGTGGTCCCGTGCATGGCTGGAGCCCCAGAGGAGGTGGGAGGAGGGGGCAGCATCTGTCTAGGTCTCACTGGTGACCTCTTCCCCAGGTCATCGGGCTCCTGGATGTCTTTACTCCTGCTTCCTCCCTGCGCAACTTCCACGACTTGTGAGTCGGGCGGCACTGGGTTCTGGGGCATTTGCAGGCCTTACTTGACACTCAGGAGCAAGTTGGGGAGGGTCCAAATTCTCTCTTCTGGGTAGGAGGGCCCCCCTTCCCTGGCAGTCCCTGTGCCTTTGGTCTGTCAAGGTATGATTCTCTCTGGAGAGATGCTCTCAGCCAAGGGTGGAGAGAAAGGCAGGCAGGAAGAGGCAGCGTGGGCTTTCCGGGGTGTGCTTGCCTGGCAGGGAACTGTCTGCACAGTTGCTTTGCTCTTTGCCCAGCTTTAACACCACAAAGACATGCCTATCAGACCTCACAGGGTTTGCACCAACGCCCCTCACCTTTCCCTGGAGGCCCAGGTGGGGCTCTGGACCTGGGGGCTCTTTCCAGCATGAAGCAAGGATCAGGAAGCCTGGGCTGCTTGTGGCCAGTGGAGTGTTTGATAGACTTACGTAGAACCAGAAAGCACAGTGGCGGAGTGTAGGGCTTCACCAGTGCCCTAAGCCACACTGGGCTGTTCGGACATTTCAGGAAGTTCAGTGTGGCAAGTGGAGGCCAGCAGCTGGTTTGGTCAAGCTAAGAGTCTGGACTTGATCCTACAGGTAGCCCCAAGTCCATGGGGGTTTCGAGCAGGGAGGTGATGTGGTCAGATGGGATTTTGGGGGTGCACTCTGGCAGCTGTGAGAAAGGAGCAGGGAGCAGCTCTGGGGAGGAGGGAAACCCTGAGGGCCAGTGTTAGTGACCCAGAACTTGATCTAAAGTAGAGGTGGCTGGGCCTGGTAGCACACGCCTATAATCCCAGCTACTTGGAAGGCTGAGGTGGGAAGATCGCTTGAAGTCAGGAGTTCAAGACCAGCCTAGGCAACATAGCATGACCCTGTCCCTAAACAAAAGTAAATAAATTTAAAAAATAAAAAATAGGTAGAGTTGACAGAATGCGGAGAGCAGACTTGAGACCCAGTTGGGAGGCAGGACTGACAGAATGCTGTGTCTGCTGGGAGGCGGGGGCTGGGCGAGGTGGCGGAGGTGGGGGTGCTCAGGTCCCTGCTGGGAAGACGAAGTGAAGGAAGAACAGATCTTGGGGGGAAGGACAGCCCCATTTTGGACACTTCACTTTTGAAGAGCGTTCACATGTTTAATCAGCAGTTGCAAATAAAAATGAACCTCAGCAGAAGGAGGTCCAGGTGAGGGATCTGGGTCTGGGCTGGATCATCACCTGTGGGTGACAGCTGAATCCGGGAACAGGGAATTGTGGGACATGACGAGATCATGTTGATTCGGACGTCCACTTTAAGGAGAGGGTACAAGAGGATGAGCAGATGAAGAAAACTGAGAGCCTGATCAAGGGCAGAGGAGTCCGGCAGGGAATTCTGAGGGAGTGTCAGACTTTGCAAAAGGCCAGGAAAGGGAGTAGCGGTGTTTGTCCTGTGGTTGCCGGTGACCTTGAGCCGAGCAGTTTGGCGGTAGGACGGAAGCAGAAACCAGGTTGGGGGGTGCCCGGGAGCTAAGGCAGTGGAGTCAAGGAGCGAGGGTCACCCTTTCCAGAAGTGTGGTAGCGAGAAAGGCTGGAGTGGTCACTTGAAGAAGCAAAGTCAAGGGCAGGTGGTCCTAGCACAGCGAGGCCTCCAGAAGTTTGTCTGCCAAGAAGAAAGAACTGGGGTCCACGTGGGGGTGAAAGACGCAGGAGGGAAGTGTGCATGGAGTGGGGCCCAGGGTCGGGGGTGGTGTGGGTGGGCAGAAGGCTTCCAGAATTCAGAGACTCACAGAGATGGCCTCCACCACATCCCTTTTTTATAAAAAATATTTATTTTATAATCGTTATTATTTTTTGTTCTGGATTTTGCTGTTACTACTTGAGTAACAGTTACATTTTGCTGTCCTCGACCTGTTTTGCAATCCCGTAAGAGGGTGCAATGGCCCAGCCTCCTCCTCTAGCCTCCTGGAAATTGTTTCATTGTATCCTTCTTGGAAGGGCAGGCATGTTGTCTGTTGCTGGCGGAGCCATCGCAGCCAGGCGTGACCCTCTGGGGGAGAAAATATTTGGATAGAAGCAGAAGGAAATACTGGCAGATGTTCCCAACTCCCAGCTGTGGCTTTCCGTGGGACTCCAAGGAGGGCGAGGAGAGGGTACCTTTGAAGAGCAGGAACACAACTCCATGCGGTTTTCCTAAGCACGCAATAGCTGAAGTGCTTACCCTGAGCTCTGCCAACTGGGCCACCTGCCGCGGGGAGGCTGGGAGCCGGGAGCCTGGAGGCCCGTGGGAGGCTGGCTGGCTGGGGTGGGGCTGGTTTTTGCACAGGAGGTCAGCTCTGAGGCCTCCGTTCTGTCCCACCCCCACCTCCACCCCCGTCCTCTGAGCGCAGACCTGACCTGGGCTGGGTGGGGCTGGGGACTGTTCCAAGAAGCCCTCGTGCCTTCCAGCTACCTGGTGATGCCCTTCATGCAGACAGACCTGCAGAAGATCATGGGGATGGAGTTCAGTGAGGAGAAGATCCAGTATCTCGTGTATCAGATGCTCAAAGGCCTCAAAGTGGGTGGGGGCTTGGAGGGCGGCAGAGGGGGTGCCTTGGTGTTGAGACCTGAGGTCTGGGGGAGGCTGGAGGGGAGTGCGTGGTGACAGGCCCGAGGTTCCCGAGCCAGGCTGAAATGCCTGGTGTGGACACTGGGCGATGAATCCACCCTCTCTCTCCCCCGACAGTACATCCACTCAGCTGGGGTCGTGCACAGGGTGAGTGTTTTCTCTGCCACAGTCCTCAGAGGCCCCGTCCCACTCCTGGGTGGGGGGTTCTCTGGCAGTCAAGGAGTGCGGAGAGGTGGAGGGAGGGGACAATTCCAGGAGCATGGAATGTGGATTTTTGAGACCCAGCCTTGGCCCAGGGAGGCCTGCTCAGACAAATCGCCGTGTTCCGGGGAGCTCCATGGGGAGTTGCTGTAGTCAAAGTGGGCCCTGAGCTGGGTGCGGCGGCTCTGAGAATCAGGGACAGTTAGAGGCGGATGGGCCCGAGAGGATGCCTGGTCCAACCCTCATTTTACACATGAGGAAACCGAGGCCCAGAGAGGGAAGGGGCCTGGCCGAGGGCACACTGCTGGCAGGGCAGGACAAGCTCCTGCGGTGCCTCTCAGGCCAGTGCTCGTTCTCTGTCCTCCCACCCAGGACCTGAAGCCGGGCAACCTGGCGGTGAACGAGGACTGCGAACTGAAGGTGAGGGGCCGCGGCGGGCTCAGCGGGGGGCAGGGTGGGCCCTCGACCGCGGGAGCCCTCCCAGCCGCTCCAGGAGCCTCCTCTCCTCAGCAAGCTCCTCTCCCCATGTCCCCTGAGCCATAGATCCTGGATTTTGGGCTGGCACGGCCCGCAGATGCCGAGATGACCGGCTACGTGGTGACCCGCTGGTACCGGGCCCCCGAGGTGATCCTGAGCTGGATGCACTACAACCAGACCGGTCAGTGGGCGGCCGCCCCGGGGGCTGGCCGGGGCCTGCTCGGGCAGCTTCCCTGGGGCCACCTGGTTATTCCGCGCTGACTGATCACCGGGTCCCAGACAGCCTAGTGACACTCCCCTCCCTCTGCAGTGGACATCTGGTCTGTTGGCTGCATCATGGCGGAGATGCTGACGGGGAAAACCCTGTTCAAGGGGAAAGATTGTATCCTTTGCCAGAAAAGCCAAACTCCACCTAGGGATTCATTCCTTCCACAGGCATTTTATTTAAATAACTCTCTCTCTTTTTTTTTAATGCAAGAGTGATACACGCTCCCCGTAGAATAATTTTTAAATGCAGATAAGCAAAATGGTGAAAGTGAGTCACCTGTAAGTCTACACCACGAAGACCCTGCTTCGGGACTCAGCACCGCACACGCTAACTGAGCTGTGTGCGGGGCAGGCCGGGGACGGGGAGACGCAGGGTCTGCCCCGCCCAGCGCACCGCCGTGGGGGCGGGAGGGAGGACGAGGAAACAGAGGAAGAGCACAGAGTGGGCACGAGGGCCAGAAGTCCACACTCTGGGAGCGATGGTCAGGGAGGGGCCCTTCGCAACCCGGCATGTCGGAAAGCCCCCCGAGACCGAGTCCTGCAGGAGCAGCGTCCTCTCCTGAATGCAGGCGGCGGTTGGTCACCACGGTACCAGGTGGAGTGACGGTGGCGCCGAGGGAAGGGCAGCCTCAAACCCACCAGCAGAGAGTAAGGCCGACCCTTAACCAGCTGCCAAGACCTGGACCAGTTGACCCAGATCCTGAAAGTGACCGGAGTGCCGGGCACAGAGTTTGTGCAGAAGCTGAACGACAAAGCGGTGGGTGGCAAACGGGGCCTAGGCTGGCTCAGGCCGTGCGCTCGGCTGAGCAGCGGCCAGGTGGGCTGGGGGCCTTTGGCCCACTTGCACCTTCCCACAGTGTCCCTCTGCCCTGGCAGGTGCCATTGACTTGTCCTGCCTGGGACTCTCACCTGAGCCTTCAGCCCTGCTCTGTACCCTGAGGTTGGAGCCCTGCTGCTTTTCTGTCTTCCAGGCCAAAGCCTACATCCAGTCCCTGCCACAGAGCCCCAAGAAGGATTTCACTCAGCTCTTCCCACGGGCCAGTCCCCAGGGTGAGTCTCGGGACCTGCGCCCCAGGGCCTCCGGGTCCGTGCCAGCAGGCGGGCTCCCCGGGCCTGGGCCGAGGCTCACGCTCTGCTGTGCAGCCGTAGACCTCCTGGAGAAGATGCTGGAGCTGGATGTGGACAAACGCCTGACAGCCGCGCAGGCCCTCGCCCACCCCTTCTTTGACCCCTTCCGGGACCCTGAGGAGGAGACGGAGGCCCAGCAGCCGTTCGATGATTCCTTAGAACACGAGAAACTTACAGTGGACGAATGGAAGCGTAAGCGCCGGGCCCTGGGCTCCTCCCCTGTCTGCCTGCAGCCCGTCCTCCTTCGCGGCCCTGCCTGGCCCTGCCGGCCCCCGCTGGAATGCGAATTAGCTCCTGTGTGTTTTTTCTCCTTGAACTGACTTCCCGCTCCATGTTATGTCTAAAGCGGGGGTGGGCCCTCTCTTGCCCTCAGCACCCCCTTACCCACCTGAAACCACTTTGCCTTCCTTAGAGCACATCTACAAGGAGATCGTGAGCTTCAGCCCCATTGCCCGGAAGGACTCACGGCGCCGGAGTGGCATGAAGCTGTAGCGACTTGTGCAGCCCGACCCCCGACTGAGCCCGGGAACTGCCACATGGCACCACTGGCCAGGCACTGTCCAGGGACCAGTATTTATTTGTCATTACCAAAGTCTCAACCCTTCTCCCAATACAGCCTTTCGAGCAGAGGACAGAAGGGCCCTTCTCCTTGTGTAGGAGATGGGCCTAGGAGGCGCAGAATTCAAAGCTGTTGGTTGGGGGAAAATTAGCTCTGATCATACGGCCCTGTTAGAATGCCCACCTGGAGAACCGCCCAAGTGTGGGGGTCCTTTCCTTCCTGGCTCTGTGGGGCCGAGAGGGGTGCTGAGCTGGGCCAGGGGTCTGTGGCAGTGATGGCATATTAGTGTACCAGGGCTGCTGTAACAAGTTACCACAAACTGGATGGCATAAAACAACAAAATTATTCTCTCTCTGTTTTGGAGGCTAGAAATCTGAGATCGAGGTGTTGGCAGGGCCATGTCCCCTTTGAAGGCTCCAGCGGGGGGAATCCTTCCTTACCTCTTTGTAGCTTCTGGTACATTCCCTGGCATGGCTGCATCACTCCATTCTCTGCGTGTGTTTTCATGTGCCTTCCTGAGTGTATCTGTCCTCCTCCTAGAAGAGCACCAGTCATTGGACTCAGGGCCCGCCCTGACCCAGTAGGATCTCACCTCGATCCTTCCCGCTTACGTCTGCGGAGACTCTATTTCCAAATAAAGGCACATTCTCAGGTTCCAGGTGGACGTGAATTTTGAGGGGACACTATTCAACTCCCTACAGATGGCCATGGGGGGGGCCCTTCCTGGGGCCTGTGCTCAGGCCTCGTGGGCTGTTACGGAGCCAAATGTGTTTGGCTGCTAAATTGAGAGAGCTGCAGAGAGAGCTGCAGCTGGTGAGACATTGCGCTCAGGCTATTTTGGGTGAGTGATAAGCAATCAAGATAGGAAACGCCAGCAGGCTTGTCGCCGGGGAGCTGCACGAGGCACAAGTGGGCTTGTTCCCGGCTTTGTGGCAAACTGTTCGTGCCTTTCCGGGAGATGGCACAGCTCTCCAGAGCTTTCACCTGACAGTGGTTAGGATCCTTCTGTTTGGGTTTGAAAACCTTTGGTCGAACAAATTTCCATTTGCACAAGCAGACAGGGGCACAGTGGGTCTCAAACGGCCCCAAGTACCAGGGGACTTGCTAGACTAGCTTCCTGGCCCCACCCCAGGGATTCCAATTCAGCAGGTCTGGAGTTGAGACCCTAGAATGTGCATCCAAATGCACAAAGGACCTTTCACCCTGCCCCAAGCCCGGTGGTTCTGATGGATATTGGACCGTTTTTAGAGACAGGCAGCTGATTTCAGCACTACTGAATTTTTCAGGAGCCCTAAATCAGAAACCTACAGCGGGAGACCGAGGGGCTGCAGATGAGATGCACACTCGTTTTCCAGCTGTTAAAACAGGCGCAAATGGCATTTCTAAGGTAGCGAAACTCTTCTGTATGATACCATGATGGCGGACATAGGACTGTGCATTTGTTAAAATCTGTAGAACTGTACGACACAAAGAGTGAACCCTCAGCAAACTGTGGACTTTAGTTAGTAATAACGTATCAGCGTTGGTTCATCGGTTGTAACAGATGTACCGCTAGTGCAAGATGTTAGTAATAGGGGAAGGGGGGAAGTACATGGGAACCCACTGTACTTTCTGCAAACCTAAAACTGTCCTAAAAACAATGACGACAAATGCCCTGAGACCCCAAGAGACTCGGTGAGATGCCCATGGCTAGGAAGTCATGGAGTCGGGATTTGAACCCAGGCAGGCTTAACCACTGCGCCAACAGTTCTTACCCCAAACTTAGATTCAAGGGTTGCCCGGCCTTTTCTTTCTTCTTGTGTGTGTATCTCTGAGCTCCTTTACTACCGGCTATGTCCATGGACTCTGTTTTCTGTCCCACAGAGTGGCCCTGCTGCCAAGGAGCGGGGAGTCCGTGACCAGGACTGGCCCTGACCTTGCTGATTACTAAACTGCCCCAGGCTCCCTGCGTCAAAATCCCTCTAAGTCTCCTTCTGAGATTCCTCACTGGCCCCAAGGAAAAAGTCCAGCCTTCTTGGCCTGGTATTCCAACCCCCGTGCATCCTCTCTAGACTCGTCAACCCCCTGCCTCCCATATATATCCCTGATGCCAGCATGGCCTGCCATGGGACTCCAGTCCTGGGATCCACCCTGGGGCTCATTCTGTGCATAAGCAGGTTAAAAGCCCTGATGAGTCCTGCAGTAAAGAGACCTGTTCAATATTGTTGAATCTGCCACTTCCCAAATGTACCAAATGGGACCCCATTTCCCCCCAACTGCGTCTCACACATGGCCGTCTTTGCCCAGTGCAGCCCGGAGCCTCCGCCTACAAGGCTCTGGGCCTTCCGTCCCTCTCCACTCAGGAAAACCCTTGTCATCCTTCAAGACTCTACCTCGGGCCTCCCTCCAGGAAGCAGTTCTCCATCGTCCTCCCTCAGGGAGCAAGTGGCTTCCTCCCCTGTCCCAGGCCCTCTGTGGGCAACATTCCCTCCCCACTGCCCGCCGTGGGCCCCTGTTGGGACAAGTATCTGTGAGTAAATGAACAACTGATGACCCGGGGTCCTACCGGTCATTTCCACGACCTGACCAGACCCGTGTGGCCTCGAAGGCAGCAGAGAGCACAGCAGGAAGCAGAAGTGGGTGGCCCTGGGCGGTCCCTTTGTGTTGCTCTCCTGGAAACCTCTAGGCTCTCAGACTCCCAGGCCTCTCCCCATCACCCCTCAGTGTCCCTCCAGATCATCCCCCAGCCCAGAATTAAACGTCAGGCCCTTCCCTCACAGTTGCCTCAGACCTGGGAACTTTCTTCAAACGGAGGCGAGGGAGCTCCGCAGTACAAAGGGGTCGTCGGCTGGGCCTTACCCTGTGGGCTCGTGGCCTGGGTGGCAGGAAACCAGCCCGTTCTCTGCCGGCTGGGGGCGGGAGGGCTGATCTTGTGGGATTTGGGCTCAGCTGCTCTCACTGTTGGCCTGGGGCAGGTCTCGCATCCCCGGACCACGGGGATGAGGTTGGGCTTTGAGGGCGGTGATGGGGTGGCTTGGAAGGTCTTAACAGAGATGCGAAAGGCAGACTGGGAGACTGGGAGACGGGGACAGTCCGCAGCAGCAGGTGCGACCTGCATTCCCTCCGTTCGAAACGAAGGGTGTCCTTGCACAGGGCGCAGCTCCTCTCCCAAGGCTGCGGGGCCTGGGCCACTCGTGAGAACGGTGGGCGTGCCGTGCCAGGGCAGGGCGCGCAGTGAGGGGCAGCACGTGGGGGAGCGGACGCAGAGGAGCTGCTCTTAGGAGGAGAGCGCGCCGTGCACAGGCGTCCCCAGCAGCCTGCAAGGCTAGAGTCTGCACAGGCAGCGGCTCAGCTCTCGCCTGGCACGTGCAAATAGCTTTTGCCTCCACTAGGGTGTGGGGAACTGTCTTCACGGCCCAGAGAAGCGCTGCAGCCACAGCGGAGGAAGGAGTTTTCCTGCCTCTTCTCCCACTCTTGGCTTTTGCATCCTTCAGTTCAGCTGAAGCAGATCTTAAGAACCAACGCCGGGACGCTCCCCTTTCCTGACCCCGCGGTGCACCTGGTGCCCTGTGCCCATTCTCCCTAAACCTCCCGTGACTGAAGGTGGCAGGCTGGTGATTTCTCCTTTTCACCATGGGCAGCAGAGGCCCAGTGCCGTTCAACCAAACTGAAGATCCCGGCGAGTGGCAACTGTCTCTGTCGAGCCCTCGGGGGTGTCCTGGGGCGGGAGTGCTGCCAGCTGGAATCCTGCTCAGTTCCTGCCGTCACAGCCCCTGCTCCGCCAGGCAGCTCCCTCTCGCTGGGCCACACCTGTGTGTCAACAGGGCCCTAAGCTGGGGCCTCTTGACCATTTTTTGTGCCATGGATCACTTCTCAAAATAATATTTTCATATGCATAAAATACACAGGATTACAAAGTAGTCTGGTGATATTGATATGTAGTTGTCAAAATACCTTTTTTTTTTTTTTGAGACAGTGTCTCACTCTGTTGCCCAGGCCAGAGTGCCATGGCGTCAGCCTGGCTCACAGCAACCTCAGACTCCTGGGCTCAGGCGATCCTCCTGCCTCAGCCTCCCGAGTAGCTGGACTACAGGCACGCGCCACCATGCCCGGCTAAGTTTTTTCTATTTTTAGTTGTTTGGCTAATTTCTTTCTATTTCTAATAGAGACAGGGTCTTGCTCTTGCTCAGGGTGGTCTCTAACTCTGAGCTCAAGCGATCCTCCCGCCTCGGCCTCCCAGAGTGCTAGGATTACAGGCGTGAGCCACCGTGCCCGACCTGTCAAAATACTTTTTAAATGCGTAATGTGGTAATATGTGCCTGGGTTTCTTTATTAACACATTAGATAAGATCTAGGAGTGGGCCTCTTAACCTACTGTAGACTGCAATGGAGATGAGTGTGGAGGACATTCAGGACATCTGCAGCACCCTGTACGGGATAGGAACAGCTCTGTGATTTCCATTGGTGCTGCCGATACAACTGCAGTTTGCTACCTTTACTCAAAACCTAGGGAATAGAAGTGACTAAAAATAAAGTTGTCATATTTTCCAAGTTCAGAGACCCCTGAATTCTCTAGTTTGTGGACGCCACTTAAGAGCTCCTGTTCTAGCTAATAAAATATGACTTTCAGTATCCTCTGCTATTTCTTAACTCCATATAATCACGGAGGCGGGTTGGAAACTCCCAGCTCTGCACTGATGCCCACAACACGTATTACCTTTATTTGTCTGGGGCTCCCAACCTCACCATCCGGGAGGAATGGGTCTGATGGGGGCATTTTGCCAGGGAATTGGTGGAGGCCTCTATATCTAGTTTGCAAAATGGGTGGGATCTCCCATCCCTGTCCCACTGTGTTCCCTCTAAACAATTTTACCGATGAAGACATTTAGGCCCAGGGCAGGGACTGGGGCCCAGGTCTCCTACTTGCCAAGGCACTGTGCTTCCTGCTGCAGCAGTGGCCTGGTCACTTACAGAGATTAATTTTTGTTGTTTTTTTCTTCCCTGTGCCCCCAACCACCACAGGCACAAAGGTAGCCAGGCCGTGGGACAGATTTTTGTTAACTGTCAAAGAGAAGAAGCTTCCAACAAGACACTTGTTTCTCTCTGTTTTCCCAAAGGTCTCACCATCAAGAATATTTGCTAGGACTCTGGGATGGGAAAGCAGGGTGGTGAGGGAGGGAAGTGTGGTTGAGAAACAGCGTGGCTTAGATAGGAGGTTTCTCCTGACCAGGAGGAGGTGGAGGCCTATGAGTGCCCAAATCCACTTGGGACTGTGCCCAGCTCCCCGCCAACACCCTGGCAAAGCCCAGGTGGAAGCTGTTAGGTGCACCCAGGGAGGTTGGACC